GATGGGAAATCTTTTTTCGAACAAGTGGCAAACAATGTATCAGGGGCGCTTTTGGAAAGAGAAGGTTATCCATTTCAGCAGAATACTTTAACTTCTCAACAGTCACAGAATGGACACAATAGTGATTCCCAAAGCGCAACTGTCTCGCCTTTAGGTAGCAATGACAAACATCCGAAACATTTTCCCAACCCGTCACCCACTGTTCCTATCTGCGCCTCAACAATGGCCCCGGATTGTGCATCTGCTCCGGACAATGGCAGTCCCTCGGCCCTGGACGTCTCTTTACAGGACTTCAACGTTTTCTCCAACGATTCCTGCTTACACCTCTCAGATGCCGTGTCCCCAAGCTTGTCAGAATCTGTAGACAGCCCCATTGGTTTATCTACGGAGGCCTTTGATTTCTTCTCCGAGACGCTTACAACAATCGACCTGCAACACTTGAGCTACTAACTCTAACTGAAGTTTCATTATAGGGACGTCAATATCGTTCTCACATTGATGGTCTGTGTGTTTAATTGTGACTTTAAAAATAGGCCTAGACCATTAATCAATGAGGTAAGTTTTTCAAAAATCGAGTGATAAGTTTTGTTTACAGAGAAAATATGGCAGGAAAAAAAGTGATATTTTTCACGTTATATTTTTGTACCGTTCGCCGGCAAAGCGCCATATTTTCATAGAATAAATTTGTACTTGTTATTGAAAATAACAGCGGTGTTATTTATTTCTTCAATATTCAGATTAAGAAATAAGAGGTTACTATTAAACGAGGTATAAGATTCAAAGTATATTACAATCCTATTTTGCTTATTTGTTATGATAGTGTATTTACCTGTTTTATGAGGATTAATGATTTTTATTATAATTTTTCGAGAGACAAAATTAGATATTTACAAGGCTGCCAAATGTACGTTTATAATCGCTAATCAAAACTAATATCAGTTATCCCGAAAACTATTTGTGCGCAAAATTAACACGCAGTTAGGTAGGCCTATGTAATTGCGTGTTACATTCTTTTTATTAATCTTTGTTAATTTCTCTGTAGCCTAGTTGGCGTTAAATTTAGATGTTTTTTAACAGTATGAAATGAACCCATGGGACGTTTTAGATGCCATCAAATTTGTAGACTAAAACAGAATCCCTCAAAAAGGAGATTGATGACTTGATGATGCGTACACAAATAAGTCCCTTACTGTATCTGACGACACAGGGAGCCTCCTGGCCAAGAGTTGTAACGTTTTGGAGTTCAGCAATTACATTTTATTGCCTATTAAACCTTCGACAGGGGGTTGGTGTTGAGGCAGCACTCCCCGTAATTCAATTCGCCGCTGAGAATGAGAAGGGAATTCAACAGTCAAACCACATTTTAACATTAATTATTTAGTTTATATACTTTATTATAATTATCAGTTTATCTCAGTTTATAGATTTAATTTACATTTGATGAATGTAACTGTGTCCCGAATCAGATCAGTGCATCTAATACAAGAGTTATCAAATGAAGTAGGTCTATCGTTTTATCAACAGGCAACGCTGCAAGGAATGATCTGACAGTATAAACAAACTTAAATTTGCTGGTGTTTTCTTAATATTAATATTTATACTTTTAAATTCCAAATAGTCTGATATCTGAACAAATAGCCTAGCTAATAAACAATCTCATTTGATTACCTCGGCCTGCTCTCATAAGATCTGAATTCTATGGGCCTGTGTGTCCTACTAACTCGATTGATACCCGCTCGATGTTACAGTCTTAATACAACTCAATTTGAATCTTTTCTCGACAAGCCAGGATCTCGGCAAACACTTTTCACCCTTTGCACAATAAAAAGCCTGTCAACACCGGTTTTATAACCTTTAAGTTTAACAAACACATTTGAATTTAGGTAGGCCTATATTTATTTTAAATTCGTTTTTGTAACGTATTTTGGCACTGATATTTGTCCCACATTAAATGAAACAACAAATAATCACAAAGTAAAATAAATAGTTTCACCATCATTAGTTCTTATCCGTGGCTGGTTAATCGAGTTGAATGATTATGGTGACTCGAGCCACTTCTGTTACTCCATGAACTCCAGGAAATTCTATTGTAAGGATACCAACACAAAACTGAATTTATAAAAGACGACTTCAGTGGTACCTCGAGAAGAGTGTTCTGTGAAACCTAGCCTCGGAGAAATCAAGCTAGGATAATTTCCAAACATCTGACGCCACGTTGCAATCGCTGCGTAAGTGTCGAAATGAAAATGAGGCCTATAGCGGCCAAGAGCTCACAACGCACAGAGGCATTTGTTAGAGACGCAGAATGATCCGAGTCCTTGTATTAGATCAGGCTAACTTTACACCCACACAATGATTGATACACTAAAACCACCGCAGACCTACTAATGTAGTTATATTATAACTTTAATCGTGGTCTGAGGGCTTTTCAGTTATTAACAAAGTAGTTTTTAATGCTCTTATCTTCCATTTGGTTTATTAAATGTTATATTTAGAATTTTCAACCATACACAAAAAGATGTGTACAGAAAAGCCCCTAAATCGCATTTTACAAAACAAAGCTCAAAATCATTAGGGCTCTAAAGGCGTAGCGCCAAATCGAGCCTGAACAAATAGCTTGACTGACGTCCTTTGACAAACAAACACGTGATCGGCATTCTTTAACCAGGTTAAAGACTGAGTTGACATTTGGCACAGAGAAGTGATCAACATCCAACTAGCTACCCAAAAGAGATTTTTGCATCATAGGCATGCAGGGAAAGGCTTAGAATTACAATACAAATTCTTTTTACAATTTTATAATTAATCTTCTATTACAATTTTGAAAAGCCCTGAGTAAAAATAATGTAAATATGTATAACTGTAACCGTCTCATTGAAGCAACTTTTTACATTCTACACATATACATTTTTGGAAGTCAGCTGTGTTACCACTTTTGTGGCAGCACCCCATTTTTAAAGCTGTGGTTGTAAAATAGAAAGATAAACCAAATTTGCCTTTCCATAGTGAATATTCATCACAATAACTCATATGAGCCACTACTAGGACCTGGGTATCATTGCAGATGCATTTGCTAAAATATGTTATTGCACGGACGCTTCAAGTATAATTATCTGCTTACTTATTAAAGACTGCCATAAAGTTGGACAGTCACATAACTTTCATGATCCTACCCAAATTGAACAATCAACTTTGCCTTAATGCAAACTGACGTGAAACCATTTGGTATGCATAATATGTACATGTAATTCGGGGCTCCTGCAGCAATGTTATTTTCTCAAGTGATTTGCAGCATAAGTTTATGGCTTTGGTTAGGGAGCCTGACATATTTTTGGTCATCCCAGCATCTACAAGGATCGATGAACAATCTGTGTAAAGTAAAAGTTCTGTCCCGACAGCTATAAAATGCTTAAAGAGGAAAGGCCTACACTGTTAGTCCACTGACTCAGTCTGTAATGTCTATGCAGGCATTTAAAGTCAGTGCAGTCAGCCATCAACTGGTTTCCATGGAAACATTGCATTTAATCTTGGTGGTCCCTTTTGTCATTCCTATGCAGCTGGGCTTCATGCAGATATTCTGAGGGTAGAGTGAAATTAGAGCAGAAACACTAAATATAAACTGCAAGATGCATGAAAATGCAAACCGTATATATGAATTTTAAGTGTGCAGTTATGTAATGCTTAGGAATTCTTCACTCAAAAAATTTGTTATCATATACCCACTCACATGTACTGACTCTCTTTTGTGAAAAACAAAAGAAGATATTTTGTTCAATTTTCAGTGTTGTTTAGGGCTCCACTGATTTTCATTGTATGGACAAAAACAGTCTTTCTGTGTTCTTCTGAGGAAAAAAGTCTTTAGGGTGTGGAATGGCATGAGGGTGCATAAATGATGACAGAATTTTCATTTATGAGTGAAATATCCCTTTAAGGGTTCAAACCTTTTAAGGATCTGAATCAAACAGAATGGCTCAAGTAGAAGGCCAACCACAGCAACACCACAGAATACAAATGAACAAATTAGCTCTATGAAGCATGATATTATCTCATAGATCATGTTTATGGAATTCCTGAGGTATGCAATTACTCATCTTCTAGTTGCACTTACGTGGTCTGCTTCTTAAACATCTCTTTTCATCTAACATAAAGAGTTTTTCCTCCTGCGGCTGCAAGCGAGGCTTCACTATGTAATGTTAAATGAAATGACTGGCACAGGTTCACTCAGAAACACTGCAAAAGCCTCATGAATATATCTACAGTAATTATTAATCAAAGAACCAAATCCCTGCCAAAGAGAAACACAGGTACAACGGTTACAAATGTACCTTTCTGATGTAACTTATGATTGATGCATTCTTTTGTTGACATTAGACATTAAACATTAAATGTAAACTCAAGGTTCAATCCAAGGGAGCCCAGACTTTTTTTCTTCTTCTCCAGAAGCAGGCGGTGAAAGTGGTGTCAAAAGATAGTTTAAATGTTTAAATGAAAGCTAATTCTAAGTCTTTTAAAAACAACACCTGAGCAGCCTAATCCCTCAAAGGCCAAGGGGCAAAAACACCATCTCATCCATCACAAAGTTGAACTTCATAGATACCCCTGCACCCTACAGGCAGTGTGAATTACAGTGGCAACAGTGTGCCCTCAGATGTTCGGAGGCTGTTCAGGTGGTCTGATTCAGATATGACTTACCTGTCACATGTCATAGTATTTGCTGGTGACTTCACCCATCTCAGGCATGTTTTCAAGTCTAGTATGTCTTCACATGGCTGCCATAAACCTTACATTTCATTATTTTTTTGGGCCAACGAAGCAATTCTTCTCTACCAGCTCTCTGAAACAAAACCAAAGCAAAGGAAAATTTTACAGGCTCAAGTCACAAGGCTTGCAAGAAAAAAAAGGAATGATTCAGAATGTGGCAGTCAGTGGTTTCCATATGCACAAGCATGACAGTGCTGGCCACCACAGAGTCATGTCGACCAAATAATTAAAACATTGTTTTACCCTAGAGAAAACAACAAAGTATAATGCTAAAACTCTCGGATGAAGAGAAGTACAATATGTCTAATTTAATATAGATGATGATCACTGGTTATGGTGATACTGGTGTAAACTGCATTTAAACACTCACACACATTCCTCCCTATGTGGGTTGGGGCCAGAAGCTGAGACTTGTGAACTGAGGTGAGTCCAGATCAAACAGGCTCGGCTGAGGAGCATGAGATATGGAGCTGCTCCCCTCTCCTTTAAAAGGTCAAAGGGCACATCACCTCTCTTTCCCCCTCCACACCAGATGGATCTGTGGCCAGGTCAAATGAGGTTCAAGCAGTGCTCAAGCCGAGCGAACAAGCAGACAGGATGTCAGTGTTGAATATCAGCCAATACTTTCATAAAGTAAAATCAGCCTTTTATTGTTTAATTTAAGTCGTTCCTATGAATAGCTGTATTTGCTTAGGTGCATAAATATATCACAGCAAGGCTTGTTCACAAAATATGGATCTAATTATAATGTGCAAAATAACATGCCGTATTCCTTTAACAAATATTTTGGACTCAAAAAACAAATTCCACTCCTTATCATTTTCTAGGAGAGGTATTTTGAGAAGGTGACAGAGTGCAGGTCTCCTGGCAGGGATCTGTTCTCTGCAGTAATCTCTGTGAAACAGCAGAGGAGCACAGAGAGAGCGCACAGAGCCAGATGGAAATGGATAGCAATGTGTTTTCCTATGAAAGCTGTGCATCACATTCTTCACCTGTCTCACTCCTCAGGATAAGTGGGCCCCACTCCAAACAGCAGGCCCATCTAAAAGGGCTGAAAGGTCCTTAGATCCTCTCACTAAAATCCTCTATTGCACCAGTAGTGTATAAAAAGGCACAGAGGGCAAATAAAAAAAAAAAAACAGGACATTCAGCAGTTACTTACCAAAGTTTGTAAATGAGGATTGCCTCTTTGGCTAAGGAAGTAGTGAAGCTTCTTGAATCTTGAAGATTCAGATTAGATTAGATCATATGGGCATGCTGTATCTTTCCCATCTGTTTTTTTCCGCTCTCGTGCTAATAAAAACATCAAAAGTAAATATTATCACAGTGAAAGTGAATTTGACGAATAATGCAATAAAATTACTTATGGAAAGTGCATCATTCCTGTCAAATCGTGCACGTAAAACTAGACGAGGAAACGTGTGATTCCCCAGTGTCCACTGTATGGGGTGAGCACTCTAGTCAAATGGTTCTGCTGGAGCAGGCGTGATGAATTATAGTGTCTAATTTGAATAGGGGTTTCTGCAGGATAGGCTATTGCTTCTTCCGTATTTCAAAGTCCACTTGTAACTTCCGTGTTTCGAAGGCTATCTCACTGGGTCAAGCGGTTTATCACAATGAGGTCCATCCCGGAAGACTTGACGACACTCATTTCAGGTACTATCGCAATATTTGATAATACAACAGTTGATAAAGCGAACGTTTAGGTCTCGAGCGCAGTCGGAATAGAATAGATTTTTTTTGTCTTCAGTTATAAACTCTACATTTATTTCTGTTCGTACTTGGTTGAAAAGAGGAAGTTTAGTCTACCGACAGACGTTGAGAATATTTCCCTGTAACTTGGTTAGAGCATAAAGTGGTCTTTGTTTACATTTTTCTAAAGACGAGGCAGGGTGCGAATACATGTTTTGTGTTTTAACGTGTTGTTTTAACTAAGTCAACAATAGGTATGAAAGTAGAGAGTTTATGATGCTAAGATTCAACTGCAGATTAAATTTCTATTTTGTTTTCTTGTGCAGTTTTTTGTTTAAGTTTGAGTCCTAACATACCTGTGGGAGACTCCAGCTTAATATGCTAGCGATGCTTGAACACGTAGATAGTTGCCAGCTAACATTACGCTAATTACGTTAGATGGAGTAAGGTTGTTATTAGCTGGCTGGCCAGTTACAAAAACAAAACAGGTTGATAGTAGTTGTTTCTGGCCAAAGACCAGTTTAAGATGTATTTTCCAGCAGGGATGTAGCCTTGCCAGTAAACTAATCAAAGTGCCATTAGTTTGGAATAGTCGAAAGTTATGTTCCTCAAACATGAAGTGCACCTGTTTGCATAAACCTAGGCTACTTGAGTTGAGGAATTCAAGAAGAGTGAAAAATGGCAAAAAAAGAAGCTACGCTTATAAAACAGCGTCTGTTTTCAGATCTGGAAACGTTTTTAACCGATGTCCTTAAAGGGGAGAATTTGAGCAAGAAAGCAAAAGAGAAAAAGGATGCCTTTATCAAGCGCATTAAAGATGTGAAATCGAGGTACGACAGAATATATTCATGTAATAGCTATTACCTGATATGTTTGTGACTATGCTGATAAAGTATTCAACAAATCCAAATTATTTGTGTTCCAGCTACTCTCAAGATTTCAAGGACAAACGTAAGTTTTGATGTGTTTGTATGTTTGTGTTATGTGCATGTGTCTGGGGGAGGGGCTAAAGTTCAAGCATGGTGGAGTAAACTAGTACGTCCCCACTATGTTGTAGGCTACTGTGTGCTTCACTCTATCCTGCTGCATCATAGTTAGCATTCATTTTGTACATGAAAACTTCAACTCTTCATATGTAAACATCTTCGCATGACAAATATATATAATACACATACACGGTTTCTCTTCTGATGGGAACACATGAAAAAAGTGCTTTAAAAATAACCTTCAAGTCACCATATAACTGTTCACAGATTAGTTTAGTGTTTCCTACTACAAATTTAAGGTTGAGATGTGGGTAGAGGGCTGAGTTTGGTATAGCACATTACAGCGGCACTATTACCACAATATCACAACGTGAACAGGAAGTTATTTGCTCAAATTCAACATGATGGCACAAACATATGCATAATTTTTGCTTTGCCATCATCTTTAGTATTAATTATATTGTGAGGGAATGTGATTCAAACTGGCTATATAGTGTTACAGGAGGTCTGTTTATCTAGCATATTAAAGGAATAGTTCAGCCAAAAAATACAAATTTGCTGAAAATGTACTCACCCTCAGGGCATCCAAACTGAGCCTGTTTATTCATCGGAACAGATTTGGAGAAGTTTAGACTTGCATCACTTGCTCACCAATGGATCCTCTGCAGTGAATGGGTGCCATTAGAATGAGAGTCCAAACAGCTGATAAAAACATCACAATAATCCACAAGTAACTGACACCAGTCCATCAGTTAATGTCTTGTAAATCTGCATGTTTTTAAGAAACAAATCCATCTTTATTTTTTTTTACATAAACCCTTTGCTTTGGTTGTACTATCCATAATATTGCTTTCTCTAGTGAAAAGGCCATCTTGTCTGAATCAGGAGAGAAATATGAACACATCAATCACCATTTATAAGTGTAAACAGTTCTAAACAAATATGTTGGTGGATTTGGATGTGAGAGGACAACAGGGGATGGACTCGCTGGAGAAAGCAGTATAAAGGATTATGGACTACAATGGAGTATTTTGACCAGAAGCGACAATTTATAGTTAAAATGCCTTAATGATGGATTTGTTTCTTACAAATCCTTAGCTTTTCACTTTACAAGGCGTTAAATAAAAGACTGACATTGTGTGGATTATTGCCATGTTTATATCAGCTTGAACACTCATTCTGATGTCACCCATTCACTGCAGTGGATCCATTGGTGAGCAAGTGATGTAATGCTAAGTTTTTTTCCAAATCCATTAAGTTTAAGAAGCAAACTCATCTACATCTTGAATGGTCTGAGCATATTTTAAGCATATTTTCATTTTTAGGTGAACTGTTCCAGTGTTCCGTTAATATTCCAAATCCCTGCAAAGCGCGTGCCACTCAAAGGCACCATGTCCAAATTCCTGTGCTGTCAGATATCATATCTGCAAACAACATAGCCTACATAATATCTGAACTAGACAGTCTTATTGTGTCTTGCTGGTGGAGGTTTGAAAATGTGGCCTTTCTGAGAATGCTGATGAAGACTCCGTTGTGTAGGAGATGAAGAGCTTCCAGAGCCTGATGAAGCGGACACTAACGATGGAGGATCACTGCAGTCAGAGCAGACTGACAGAGATGAGGAAAGCGCTTATGATGGTGAGTGGAAAATTGTGTGATTTATTTAAAAGTGTTACCAGAGAAGAGAAGCATGGAGCATCTGCAGTTGTTTTAGGAGAACTTGTGAGACAGGATTGTCATGTGACATTGTTCTATACCCTTGAATTCTCTCCCGGAAGTCACAAGAAAAGTTTGTAATTGTGAGTATTATGAAAGAATCACTGCAATCTATTCTGTACACAGATTGCATGTACAGAATTCACATAAATTAAGAAACAAAAAGCATTTCTCTCTCCGCTTATGAATGAATCAGTTATCATCTTTTCTGCAGCCTCAGCTGTCATAACACAGTATCATTGTGACAGTCCTTTGTCATGTCCTGTCTAGGATTTTTTAGTAGTGGTAGAAGAACACAAAAGCTGAATGAGGTGCTTGAAAGACTGATGTAACCCGGCAACAGGCTCAGGAACGGTTTGAAGGCACAGACATCAAGGGTTTAGCTTTCTTTTGTCTCTGAGCAAATGGTTTATGGTCTGCAGCCCAGACAATGCCGCCCACAGCCAATGTCAATTCAGCCTTCTGTTTTATTAGCGTCTGCTAAATGAATGCTATTGGTAGAATTTACATTTAAGGAAATCCAGTTCATCTGACTCATTTCGAATCATGCATCATATCTGATTATTGCATTCAGAAACGTACATTATCTGGAGGGTAGGATGCAGGCCGAGAGTGGTTTGTGTGTATGTATATGGTAGGAAGAGGTTTACTGCTGTAGTGCAGTCATGTGTTTTATAGGTCCTTTTGCCCTATGCTTGCCAGAGAGAACAGCTGTTTAGCTCCAAGATGGGATTGAAGCCTGTTAGTGCACACTGCAGAGCCTAAGCGAATCAAAACGGCATTTGGAGATTGATCAAAAAGTTATTTGAGACTATTTATTTTGGACCGATGTACTAAAGCAAGTGAAGTTATGAGCTTGTGCAACCATAATGCCGCTATTTGGTCAAAGGCAGGGAGTTTGTCATTTAATGTGAGATTTTTTTCATAAAAAAAGAAAGTCAAAACAGACAGACACATCTCAGGCTGTATTTGTTGAGAGTCAGAGGCTTTGCCTCTGTCAAAGAGCTGTGAGTTTTTACTCTTTATATATTCAGCGCATTAAAAGGAAGCTCATTTTATAGCGGAAGGTGAAACGTGTTGCCATTGTTTTTTTACGGCCTTTTGCAATTGCAACCACATTCGCTACTTATGAAGTTAGCATTGTAACATGGATAAAGATCATTTAAAGGGAGTTCATAGTACACATTTTCAGTCATGACTTATAGTTATGGGTTTGTGTAACAACATTACCATTCAAATGCTTGGGATCACTATGATTTATTTGAAGAAACTGACTCTTTTATTGAGCAAGGACAAATTGATCAGAAATGACAGTAAAGACATTTATGATGTTACAAAAGATTTCTATTTCAAATAAATGCTGTTCTTCAAACTTGATCTCAATCTCAATTTCCACACTTCTTTAAGAAACACAAACATTTTCAACTACTGTTAAGAAAGGCTTCTTGATTGTTACCAAATCAGCATATTGCAATTATTTCTTAAGGGCTATGAAGAAGACTTGGCTGCTGAAAATGGAGCTTTCTTGTCATCAAGAAAAAAATGGCTTTTTAATTATATTAAAATAGAAAAAAACAGCCGCTGTAAATTGTAATACTGTTTATAAATATTGCTGTTTTTGACTTTACTTTTTCACTTTTTGATCAGATAAATGCAGCCTTGGTGAATATCAGAATCTTCTTTTTTTTTTTAAATCTGTGAACAGAAGTATATATAATAATTTTTTAAAATTGTATTATTTATTTTAAATTTTCACTAAGGAAGATGCAAAAATCAAAGTGATGCTCTGTGCCAACGAGTTCGTATTTTCCAAAATGTCATATTTTTTTAATTGTTTTGCCAGTGTTTGCTCTAAAAGACAGCATGATTTATGATTTCTCTGCTAGTGCTTCTACCAGACATTTTCTACCAGATTTAAGAGAAATCCGCTCCAACTCTGAGCGTGTTCAGTTTGCTTTTCACAGTCAGCGTGTGTCATGCTCCCTTGACAGCACTTTATACATAATTGCAAACATTCCACAATTGCCTCTGTCATTCATAACACTGCTCTGCTCACTCACACTCATTCAGCAGTGCAATGGTACTGTGTACACAAGAGAAGGGAGGGCAGTGTAAACGAGAGGGGAAGTTTGCTTTGAAAACAGACCATGCATCTGTTTCACATACTGCTGTACCTGACAGATCGGTGCATGAAACTCTATCCAGGTTTGAATCTCTGCTAACATTAGTCTCGCTTGACGTCGACCTTTGATTTTTAAACCTAAAGGCATGGAATTCGCTTTCTGGCTGCCTTTAGCAAATGTATTTAATTTGTTGCGAAGGCAGGTGCTCCTCTTTGTGGATTCTTCACCAGCACAGTTAGCACTGCTCATCATAAATAAGCTGAACTAAAATATAATAATTTTCTGTTTGTTGAAATCAGGAGTTCAACAGTCTCCTCCGGTGGCAGCTCAGGATCTTCAGTCCATTTTAAAGAGTGGCTATCTGGAGAAGCGCAGAAAGGGTAGGTTTCTGCATTCACAAACAGGTTGCTCATGAGAAAAAAAAAATAACCTCCTTTCCACTTCTTATAGATCACAGCTTCTTTGGCAATGAATGGCAGAAGAGATGGTGTGCTTTAAGCAACAACATATTCTACTACTATGGCAGTGAGAAAGGTGGGAAATCTACAGTTTTTGTTGTCACCAATAAATGTAGTCCTGAATTAAATTTCTTTTTTTCTGAAATTGGATAATTTCATAATCTTCACTAGATAAACAGCAGAAGGGAGAGTTTAATATTGTCGGATACACAGTCAAAATGAACAACACCCTGCGGAAAGATGCAAAGCGAGATTGCTGCTTTGAGATCTCTGCTCCAGACAAGCGTGTATATCAGGTTGGTCACCTCTCATAACATGTCTGAAACATGCAGTGCTTATTCATATCCTCAGATCATTATCAATCACAATACCTTTTTTGCTGCAGTTCTGTGCTGCGTCTGAGAAAGATTCAAAAGAGTGGGTGGAGCACATTGACTTTCTGATCAAAGGTAGGACTGTAAATCAGAAAAACACTGCCACTCTCTAAACGTGTCTTTTATGAACAAATGCATCATGTTTTGCATGTGTTTTCACTATCAGACATGGGTGGAGTCATTCCTGAAGATGAAGAAGAGTATGATGACTGCTTACCTATGAACCAACCAACCAACCATCCTGCACCTATTGATGATGACATTTATGAAGAACTCCCAGGTTTGCACCTCAATTTCTTATTCCAATTTCAATTTGCCTAATAATTATATTATATTTATTTATTTATTTATTTTATTAATCCATCCATTCTCCTATGTAGGGTTGTGGGGATGCTGAAGCATTTTAATTTTATTTAATTTTAAAGCTGCAGTCCGTAACTTTTGGCGCTTTAGCAGTTAATAAACACAACTGCATGCATCTTGCGGAATAACATTGTAGCCGGAGCTACTTCTCTCTGTTTATGTCTATGACGAATCACGCAGGTACTGGGCTACTCCACAGCGGTACCTACCCGAACCAGTCTAAATAGTCCGAATATAAACACTTATTATAGGTGTACCGTAGTGATTCAGGACAAGCCAAAAACACGATTTGGAAAATGGATTCATGGTGTACTTGCTTTTTATATACATTTTGTAAATTTTGAACACAAAAAAATGACGGACTGCAGCTTTAAGTATTTTATTGTTATCTATTCACTTCTGATGTTGATAAACAGTTATAGTCATGTAAAATCCCCTGAGGGTGGTTCCTCTATGTATGTGGTGGAAAATGGCTACAGAAATTTTGAATTTGGTGTATTGCTCTCCGCTCTGACTGGCACATCTATTCTTTCCCTCAGAGGAAGATACACCCCAACCTGTTAAACCAACAGTGACCCTGGCCAACAAACCCCCACCACCATCTACCCCTGTGACAGGTAATTACCACTAGGTCACCAGGCCTGTCCATCCCCTACCTGCCCTGCTGTCCCATAACACCACACAGACTCCCAGATCTGCCTGGGTGGCTATCATTTGTCTGTTCAACTTTTTTTTTTTAATCTTAAAAGGGCAAAGATAGGAAGGATGAGGTCTTGAAATGACAACAAAAGATAGAATGTGGAAGAGAAGCAATGGATATTGCAGGTACATATGGATTTGGGAGGTTAGCTGGTGAAGTCACACTGATGACAGGAGTAGGAAGTTAGTCTGGACCACAGGAAGGGCCTGGAAGGGAATTTTTTGCTGTATTTTTGCACCGTTTATTATTTGTAATGATACTTAATTTAACAGATTTGTGTTTATTAGTTAGACAAATGCTCAAAAATACTCTTGCCATAATCTCAGTTATTATTTTAAAAAGCTATATTGGTTTTTCTGTGCCTGTGTGGGGAAGCATGTATCCTGCCGGGTGCTGGGCACTGGGCAGGGGTTGGTAGGCTCTGGCAGGAAGCTGACTCCATTGGTGCACTGTGGCCCACCATGGCCCTCTGCTCTAGGCTCACAGCACAGGAAGTCCTGCTGACAGAAGCGATGGCTGAGGCAGGATCTCGTGACAGATGCTCCGAGGAGGAGGCCAGCTAGAGCACTAGTGAGAGCCATAATGGAGGGGAATAATACAAGCTTCACAGATTCTGGAAAGCAAGATTGTCATATGAATTTTCCTTATTAGTGTTTGTTGTCATCATTCAGGGCTGTTTTGAATAATGTTTTAAAATCCTGTAAGTGAATGCAATAATGCTGATTCCAGACCGGTGCAGCAGGTGTAATACTAATGCCTGGTTGTTTTAGGAGGCAGCCCTGAATAAAACCTTAAAGCAGCAGTGGGTACAGTTATATTTAGAAAATAATTAGAATAATCTGCCAAATCAGCATAGCTGAGAATCTGCCAGCAATAATGTCTGTTGAAAGATATTTACCTTTAGGGGTATTTTTTTTTCTTTATATGAAAGCAGTTTTACTAAACACCCACTCATGGTGCTGCCTTTGGGTAGACAATGTAGATTAGTAAATATATTGTAGATATGAATAAATAATGCTCTAAACCAAGAGCCAAGAGCATGGTTAAATGTAAACCCAAGAGCATTGTTTTTGTTGATGTTTTGAGATAGAAAATAAATGTTCTTTTGAAAGGGACTGAAACTTTGCTGAAGATTATAAAAAATCAAAAGCTTTATAAATAAAAAAGGCTTAAAACAAATGTGGCTTGTAATACAAGTTGCAAGTTAACTTACAACAGTGAGGAGTCTTTCATTAGAGAGTTCTTCAGTATGCATTTCAACTGGCAAGAGCCTCAGTTCAGCAATTTATACTCTCTGCTGCCCACTAGTGGATCTTTCTGAGCCAGAAAAACACTGGGGTCTTCAACCAAGAACCCAGGGGCGCCACTATGGTCCCTAGCCAGGCCCTTGGAATCATCCTAAACTAAACTAGCTTGAAATTGTATTTGTGATTATCACATATTATGTCTTTTTGCAAAACATTTTTTGAGATCAAACAATAATCGGTGGCCATTAAAACTTTTTTTCCCAGCCAAAATGCATTCAGTTGATCCAAAGTGACAGTAAAGACATTATAATGTTACAAAAGATTTCTATTTCAAATAAATGTTGTTCTTTTGAAATTTCTTTACAGCAAAGAATCAATCACAGTTTCCACAAAATGATTAAGCAGTACAACTGTTCAACATTAATAATAAAAACAAATGTTTCTTGAGCGCCAAGCGTATTAGAATGATTTCTGAAGGATCATGTGACACTGAAGACTGGAGTAATGATGCTGAAAATTCAGCCTTGCCATCGCAGAAATAAATTACATTTGAAAAGATATTACGTTAGAGAAAAGCTATTTTGAAACTGTTAATATTTCACATTCTTATCATTAAATTGTGGTGATATTTCACATTATTATCTGTATTTTTTATCAAATAAATGCAGCCTTGGTGAGCATAAGAGACTTTATTCAAAAATAAATAAAAAAAAAAAATCTCACCGACCCCAAACTTTTGAATTATAGTGTACATACATTGAGAGTGAGATGTTCAGAGACCAAACCAACAACCTAACGATCCCCATTTTTACAGCACTTCATAAACATTTTGTGATGCATATGTTAAGAGTGTATTGAGTTCAGAACGACGCCTTTAAAAACACTAAATGCTATCATAAATGCTCTTTAATAATTAAATTCTGTTTTTAAATGATCTTCTATTCTTTCCCCTGCAGCAGTGACCAAGAGCACAGACTACGCCAATTACTTCCAGGGCTTGTGGGATTGTGCTGGAGAGCATCCCGATGAGCTGTCCTTCAAGCGAGGAGACACCATCTACATCCTCAGCAATTTTTTCTGAAATTGGATAATTTCATAATCTTCACTAGATAAACAGCAGAAGGGAGAGTTTAATATTGTCGGATACACAGTCAAAATGAACAACACCCTGCGGAAAGATGCAAAGCGAGATTGCTGCTTTGAGATCTCTGCTCCAGACAAGCGTGTATATCAGGTTGGTCACCTCTCATAACATGTCTGAAACATGCAGTGCTTATTCATATCCTCAGATCATTATCAATCACAATACCTTTTTTGCTGCAGTTCTGTGCTGCGTCTGAGAAAGATTCAAAAGAGTGGGTGGAGCACATTGACTTTCTGATCAAAGGTAGGACTGTAAATCAGAAAAACACTGCCACTCTCTAAACGTGTCTTTTATGAACAAATGCATCATGTTTTGCATGTGTTTTCACTATCAGACATGGGTGGAGTCATTCCTGAAGATGAAGAAGAGTATGATGACTGCTTACCTATGAACCAACCAACCAACCATCCTGCACCTATTGATGATGACATTTATGAAGAACTCCCAGGTTTGCACCTCAATTTCTTATTCCAATTTCAATTTGCCTAATAATTATATTATATTTATTTATTTATTTATTTTATTAATCCATCCATTCTCCTATGTAGGGTTGTGGGGATGCTGAAGCATTTTAATTTTATTTAATTTTAAAGCTGCAGTCCGTAACTTTTGGCGCTTTAGCAGTTAATAAACACAACTGCATGCATCTTGCGGAATAACATTGTAGCCGGAGCTACTTCTCTCTGTTTATGTCTATGACGAATCACGCAGGTACTGGGCTACTCCACAGCGGTACCTACCCGAACCAGTCTAAATAGTCCGAATATAAACACTTATTATAGGTGTACCGTAGTGATTCAGGACAAGCCAAAAACACGATTTGGAAAATGGATTCATGGTGTACTTGCTTTTTATATACATTTTGTAAATTTTGAACACAAAAAAATGACGGACTGCAGCTTTAAGTATTTTATTGTTATCTATTCACTTCTGATGTTGATAAACAGTTATAGTCATGTAAAATCCACTGAGGGTGGTTCCTCTATGTATGTGGTGGAAAATGGCTACAGAAATTTTGAATTTGGTGTATTGCTCTCCGCTCTGACTGGCACATCTATTCTTTCCCTCAGAGGAAGATACACCCCAACCTGTTAAACCAACAGTGACCCTGGCCAACAAACCCCCACCACCATCTACCCCTGTGACAGGTAATTACCACTAGGTCACCAGGCCTGTCCATCCCCTACCTGCCCTGCTGTCCCATAACACCACACAGACTCCCAGATCTGCCTGGGTGGCTATCATTTGTCTGTTCAACTTTTTTTTTTTAATCTTAAAAGGGCAAAGATAGGAAGGATGAGGTCTTGAAATGACAACAAAAGATAGAATGTGGAAGAGAAGCAATGGATATTGCAGGTACATATGGATTTGGGAGGTTAGCTGGTGAAGTCACACTGATGACAGGAGTAGGAAGTTAGTCTGGACCACAGGAAGGGCCTGGAAGGGAATTTTTTGCTGTATTTTTGCACCGTTTATTATTTGTAATGATACTTAATTTAACAGATTTGTGTTTATTAGTTAGACAAATGCTCAAAAATACTCTTGCCATAATCTCAGTTATTATTTTAAAAAGCTATATTGGTTTTTCTGTGCCTGTGTGGGGAAGCATGTATCCTGCCGGGTGCTGGGCACTGGGCAGGGGTTGGTAGGCTCTGGCAGGAAGCTGACTCCATTGGTGCACTGTGGCCCACCATGGCCCTCTGCTCTAGGCTCACAGCACAGGAAGTCCTGCTGACAGAAGCGATGGCTGAGGCAGGATCTCGTGACAGATGCTCCGAGGAGGAGGCCAGCTAGAGCACTAGTGAGAGCCATAATGGAGGGGAATAATACAAGCTTCACAGATTCTGGAAAGCAAGATTGTCATATGAATTTTCCTTATTAGTGTTTGTTGTCATCATTCAGGGCTGTTTTGAATAATGTTTTAAAATCCTGTAAGTGAATGCAATAATGCTGATTCCAGACCGGTGCAGCAGGTGTAATACTAATGCCTGGTTGTTTTAGGAGGCAGCCCTGAATAAAACCTTAAAGCAGCAGTGGGTACAGTTATATTTAGAAAATGATTAGAATAATCTGCCAAATCAGCATAGCTGAGAATCTGCCAGCAATAATGTCTGTTGAAAGATATTTACCTTTAGGGGTATTTTTTTTTCTTTATATGAAAGCAGTTTTACTAAACACCCACTCATGGTGCTGCCTTTGGGTAGACAATGTAGATTAGTAAATATATTGTAGATATGAATAAATAATGCTCTAAACCAAGAGCCAAGAGCATGGTTAAATGTAAACCCAAGAGCATTGTTTTTGTTGATGTTTTGAGATAGAAAATAAATGTTCTTTTGAAAGGGACTGAAACTTTGCTGAAGATTATAAAAAATCAAAAGCTTTATAAATAAAAAAGGCTTAAAACAAATGTGGCTTGTAATACAAGTTGCAAGTTAACTTACAACAGTGAGGAGTCTTTCATTAGAGAGTTCTTCAGTATGCATTTCAACTGGCAAGAGCCTCAGTTCAGCAATTTATACTCTCTGCTGCCCACTAGTGGATCTTTCTGAGCCAGAAAAACACTGGGGTCTTCAACCAAGAACCCAGGGGCGCCACTATGGTCCCTAGCCAGGCCCTTGGAATCATCCTAAACTAAACTAGCTTGAAATTGTATTTGTGATTATCACATATTATGTCTTTTTGCAAAACATTTTTTGAGATCAAACAATAATCGGTGGCCATTAAAACTTTTTTTCCCAGCCAAAATGCATTCAGTTGATCCAAAGTGACAGTAAAGACATTATAATGTTACAAAAGATTTCTATTTCAAATAAATGTTGTTCTTTTGAAATTTCTTTACAGCAAAGAATCAATCACAGTTTCCACAAAATGATTAAGCAGTACAACTGTTCAACATTAATAATAAAAACAAATGTTTCTTGAGCGCCAAGCGTATTAGAATGATTTCTGAAGGATCATGTGACACTGAAGACTGGAGTAATGATGCTGAAAATTCAGCCTTGCCATCGCAGAAATAAATTACATTTGAAAAGATATTACGTTAGAGAAAAGCTATTTTGAAACTGTTAATATTTCACATTCTTATCATTAAATTGTGGTGATATTTCACATTATTATCTGTATTTTTTATCAAATAAATGCAGCCTTGGTGAGCATAAGAGACTTTATTCAAAAATAAATAAAAAAAAAAAATCTCACCGACCCCAAACTTTTGAATTATAGTGTACATACATTGAGAGTGAGATGTTCAGAGACCAAACCAACAACCTAACGATCCCCATTTTTACAGCACTTCATAAACATTTTGTGATGCATATGTTAAGAGTGTATTGAGTTCAGAACGACGCCTTTAAAAACACTAAATGCTATCATAAATGCTCTTTAATAATTAAATTCTGTTTTTAAATGATCTTCTATTCTTTCCCCTGCAGCAGTGACCAAGAGCACAGACTACGCCAATTACTTCCAGGGCTTGTGGGATTGTGCTGGAGAGCATCCCGATGAGCTGTCCTTCAAGCGAGGAGACACCATCTACATCCTCAGCAAGGTAAGACGGGAGCCACGGCCTGGAAACTTCCAGACTTGCCACAGTTGTCACAACCCACGTGATGGAGGACAAAAATAATACAGCATGAGGTAATGTTTATTACCCTGCCCTCTCAGACGTCAGCAGGAAAAGATGAATTTGCAAAAACATTCAGTTAAATAAATACACTGTGACGTCTGGATAACACATTTGAGTCAGATGCAGAAAGGTTAGTTTTGGGCCTGTTTTTTGCACGAGTGTGGAAGTGAAGTACACCCTCTCCCTGTGCACAGTGATGGGATTAGTCTTGTCACAACGGAAACCATTTTAGTGCTCTTGGCCCTGAGCAGAGCAGTCTGGCAGCCAGTGGCATTCTGTCACCTCTCTCCACGTCTGCCCAGTGCATGTGCGCTCAGAGCTCATTTATGTGTGGGTATTTCAGCATTGGAAGACGGCTCAATGCCATGTTCAGTGAGGGCAACCGTACGCAGACCTTTAGCATACACACATCTCAGCCAGTCACTATTTATGACTGTAATGGTAGTCTGTGTTCTCAGGAAACGCTGAATCCACCTCTCTATTCGTACCAGGTGCTGCGTTTGCTTAAAAACTTCCCGTACCTGTCAGCTCCGATGCATAGGCCGGCTGTGCAGATCTGGGAACTGCCCGTGGGGTTTGTACCTGGCTAGCAGAATTAGCTCGATACCTCTCAGGGCTACTTAAAACAGGTCAGGCTGCTCCATTCCCAGAAACAAACTCGGTATCTTGCGGTTTGTCTGCTTAGCGCCGTTGCCCTTCAGAGAAAAAACTGGAAAGCTTAATCGTGTTTGTGCTTTCTCTTTTAGAAGAGAGGTTTTGAGGTATCGACATTATGCTGGTGCTTATGAATAATGGTAGGGAAATTTGTGGGTCAAGGACATACTATATAAGTGTCCATGATCTAGTTTAAAGCTAGTGACAAATTCTTGTGTTACTTGTATTCATGTTGGCTTCATATAGTTAAAAAAAAAAAACTTTAATACCATTTTCAGGAAAAGTTTCAATGTGTAATGTGGCATTAACAACAAGTTTGTTTCTTTTACCTTTATTTAACCAGGAGGCAGCTTAATAAATATGTTTTTTACAGTCGCAGACTGGCAGGAGACAAATGAATCAATATATAGAAAACAGAGATAAAAATTCTAATGTAAATTAATTTATAAACAACTATCTAAAACTAATCTAAAATTATTGTTATTAGTTCAAGTAAAAATAATAACATATTTTCCTTACAGGTTGAATACATGTTTGTGTACACCGATTATTATCCTCACAGTAAATTATCCTTGATGGATAGATAGATAGATAGATAGATAGATAGATAGATAGATAGATAGATAGATTACAAAATATTTTTTAAGGTAAAATTTGATTATATAAATGTCAAGAATTATTCTTTCTAGTTTTCTAGGAGTTGCACCACATGAAATTTTACAACCCGAACTAACCTTGCCTTATCTTAAAAAGTTGAACTATGTGATTATTGACCTTGTCACACAAGTAATGAAGATCTGCAGGGGTCCTCTCTGAGATATCTCTTACTGTTTTGTTATAAAAAAAATAATTCTGCTTGTTGATTGTCTTCGGTTTTGTAGACAAAAGTTTTAAAAACATTAAGCAGTGAAGCAATTACATGTTTTTCTTAATATTCTAAGAAAGGTTCATTAAGGATTATGCCAAAGTACTTGGATGGATTGTTCAACCAAAAATTAAATATTGTCATTTACTCACCTGTAGTCCCTAACCTGTATGGCTTTCTTTCTTATGCAGAACACAGAAGAAGATATTTTAAACAATATTTGTAACCAAACTGTTTTGGTGACCATTGACTTCCATTGTATGGACAAAAGCACAGAGACATTTTCTCAAAATGTAATTATTTATGTTCCACAAAAGAAAAAAAAGTAATGCCGGTTTGGAACAGAAGGTTCTGGAGGCATGACAGAATTTTCATTTTTGGGTGAACTATTCATTTAATAATTTTTTAAAAATCTTATTTAAAAAAAAAAACTTCATTTTTAAATCTGGACAATTGTATCATACTGCGATTTCAGATTTTATACCCCCTCAAAAATATTTAAATAATTGATACTTCTTTTAATTTCTGTATTAAAATGTATGTGTGAATTACATAAAAAAAAAAAAAAAACCTAATAGGTAGGACAAAATAAAGTGTACCCTCGTTGACCCCGTGTATGGGAGTTTGATTCTAGTATTTCAGTCTTATGGGGGATCAGCCTGTTATTGGAACATGAGCTGATGTGTGTCAAAAGAATATTTATTGCTTTAAGAGTACGAGATAGCGATTTGAAATCTTGCTTGACTGACATTTTTTAATAAACAAAATTCCATGTTTTTTGTAAGTATAAGTGTAATCAGTAATGGTGCCATATTTGAAGTAGCAGGAAAAGATGAATTTGCAAAAACATTCAGTTAAATAAATACACTGTGACGTCTGGATAACACATTTGAGTCAGATGCAGAAAGGTTAGTTTTGGGCCTGTTTTTTGCACGAGTGTGGAAGTGAAGTACACCCTCTCCCTGTGCACAGTGATGGGATTAGTCTTGTCACAACGGAAACCATTTTAGTGCTCTTGGCCCTGAGCAGAGCAGTCTGGCAGCCAGTGGCATTCTGTCACCTCTCTCCACGTCTGCCCAGTGCATGTGCGCTCAGAGCTCATTTATGTGTGGGTATTTCAGCATTGGAAGACGGCTCAATGCCATGTTCAGTGAGGGCAACCGTACGCAGACCTTTAGCATACACACATCTCAGCCAGTCACTATTTATGACTGTAATGGTAGTCTGTGTTCTCAGGAAACGCTGAATCCACCTCTCTATTCGTACCAGGTGCTGCGTTTGCTTAAAAACTTCCCGTACCTGTCAGCTCCGATGCATAGGCCGGCTGTGCAGATCTGGGAACTGCCCGTGGGGTTTGTACCTGGCTAGCAGAATTAGCTCGATACCTCTCAGGGCTACTTAAAACAGGTCAGGCTGCTCCATTCCCAGAAACAAACTCGGTATCTTGCGGTTTGTCTGCTTAGCGCCGTTGCCCTTCAGAGAAAAAACTGGAAAGCTTAATCGTGTTTGTGCTTTCTCTTTTAGAAGAGAGGTTTTGAGGTATCGACATTATGCTGGTGCTTATGAATAATGGTAGGGAAATTTGTGGGTCAAGGACATACTATATAAGTGTCCATGATCTAGTTTAAAGCTAGTGACAAATTCTTGTGTTACTTGTATTCATGTTGGCTTCATATAGTTAAAAAAAAAAAACTTTAATACCATTTTCAGGAAAAGTTTCAATGTGTAATGTGGCATTAACAACAAGTTTGTTTCTTTTACCTTTATTTAACCAGGAGGCAGCTTAATAAATATGTTTTTTACAGTCGCAGACTGGCAGGAGACAAATGAATCAATATATAGAAAACAGAGATAAAAATTCTAATGTAAATTAATTTATAAACAACTATCTAAAACTAATCTAAAATTATTGTTATTAGTTCAAGTAAAAATAATAACATATTTTCCTTACAGGTTGAATACATGTTTGTGTACACCGATTATTATCCTCACAGTAAATTATCCTTGATGGATAGATAGATAGATAGATAGATAGATAGATAGATAGATAGATAGATAGATTACAAAATATTTTTTAAGGTAAAATTTGATTATATAAATGTCAAGAATTATTCTTTCTAGTTTTCTAGGAGTTGCACCACATGAAATTTTACAACCCGAACTAACCTTGCCTTATCTTAAAAAGTTGAACTATGTGATTATTGACCTTGTCACACAAGTAATGAAGATCTGCAGGGGTCCTCTCTGAGATATCTCTTACTGTTTTGTTATAAAAAAAATAATTCTGCTTGTTGATTGTCTTCGGTTTTGTAGACAAAAGTTTTAAAAACATTAAGCAGTGAAGCAATTACATGTTTTTCTTAATATTCTAAGAAAGGTTCATTAAGGATTATGCCAAAGTACTTGGATGGATTGTTCAACCAAAAATTAAATATTGTCATTTACTCACCTGTAGTCCCTAACCTGTATGGCTTTCTTTCTTATGCAGAACACAGAAGAAGATATTTTAAACAATATTTGTAACCAAACTGTTTTGGTGACCATTGACTTCCATTGTATGGACAAAAGCACAGAGACATTTTCTCAAAATGTAATTATTTATGTTCCACAAAAGAAAAAAAAGTAATGCCGGTTTGGAACAGAAGGTTCTGGAGGCATGACAGAATTTTCATTTTTGGGTGAACTATTCATTTAATAATTTTTTAAAAATCTTATTTAAAAAAAAAAACTTCATTTTTAAATCTGGACAATTGTATCATACTGCGATTTCAGATTTTATACCCCCTCAAAAATATTTAAATAATTGATACTTCTTTTAATTTCTGTATTAAAATGTATGTGTGAATTACATAAAAAAAAAAAAAAAACCTAATAGGTAGGACAAAATAAAGTGTACCCTCGTTGACCCCGTGTATGGGAGTTTGATTCTAGTATTTCAGTCTTATGGGGGATCAGCCTGTTATTGGAACATGAGCTGATGTGTGTCAAAAGAATATTTATTGCTTTAAGAGTACGAGATAGCGATTTGAAATCTTGCTTGACTGACATTTTTTAATAAACAAAATTCCATGTTTTTTGTAAGTATAAGTGTAATCAGTAATGGTGCCATATTTGAAGTGAGTAGCTATATACTGGGATAGCGAACTATACCAAATATTACTGCCACACATATCTCGACAACAGCCACAGACTAGAGCAAAATGATTTAAAAGTTAATGAAATAAACCTTTTTTGTTGTTGATGTTGTTGTTTTTAAATGACTGGCAAATAGAGGATTCAAATTCAAATAATCTCTGATGTCTTTCTGCTGCATCTATTTTCAGCAAACATGAGATTTTCAAGTGACCTGACAGCTTCATCGGAGCTTTTTAGGAGGGCTGAGATAAAACCCTCCTAAATAAGG